TCAGTTCATTCTCACAACAGCCCAGTGCGTGGTGGCTCACGCCTGTAATCCCAGCATTTTGGGAGGCCGAGGCGAGAAGAATTGCTTGAACCTGGGAGGCGGAGGTTGCAGTGAGCCGAGATCGCACCATTGCACTCCAGCCTGGGTGACAGAGCTAGACTCTGTCTCAAAACAAAAACAAAAACAAAAAAAGCAAGGACAGTGAGGTGCAGGGAGATGGAGCCTATGTCCCCTGGCTGGTCTGTGAAGGAGCTGGGATCTGAACACCAGTCAGTAGAGCCCCAAAGCCTTAACCTACACTAGACCACTCAGACGTAGTGGCTTTTGGACCCATTTCCCCAACTCAGTTACCAAAGCACCCTTGAAGCAGCTGAGCCCATGAAGCGGGACAGCCCCCACCCCCAGGACTAGATAAAAAGGTGGTTGCACAAATCCAGGCCTCCCCACTCTTCCCCGTTGCAGGGAAGTGGGGGCCCATGGGCTTGGCGTCCTCCCTGTCAGCTCTTCTCTGCCATGATCCCCTTTGTCCTGCGCCCCAGCTTCAACTGCTCCCCTGAAAGGGTCACTTGGAGCAGCTGAGCTTAGGGCACCTCACCTGCGTGAGCTTTCTTGGGGGCTCAGAAGCACCTGGGTTGGGAACGGTGCTCTGGTGGGCAGGATGAGGGCTTCAGTGAGCTCTGCTGTCCTTGTGGACACCTTGGAGTCTGGCTTGGGAGAAGCTCCCAGTGCAGGTCCAGCCAGCCCAGAGGCCAGGCTGAATGTGGGCTGCCATGAGGCAGACTCCCCTCCATGCCCCCCGTAATAAGGCAGAGGGGAAGGACCTTGGAAGGGGGGTAGGCTGGGGCCCTGCTATTTCTCAGACAGATGGTGGGGGAGAGGTGCAGGGGGAGGGGACCTGGAGCCAGCCATCACTTCAGTATACGAAGACAGAGCTCCAAGTCCTCCAGGCCGAACAAACAACGCATCTCAGACTAGAGACAAGCGAGCCAAACCTCCGTTGTGGCTCCACCCCCTCTTTTTGCTCGCAGCAGGATCAGAGGGAGGCAGTTAATTAAGAAAGGTCACATAGCGTTATCTGTGCCAGAGCCAGATCTCAAACCCAAGTCTAGAAGAGGCTCAGAAAGGGCAGGGATGTGACCTCAGTTCACCTGAAGCCAAGAAACATTACTCTAGGCTTGTGCCAGCCTCCAGCTTGGGAATTTCAAAAGTAGGAGTATAATTCCCCTCTCCCTGCCGCCCCTAGCCTCCTGGGCTGGGGGGGCTCAGCGCTCTTAGCTGCATTCCAGGGATCTGTTTCCCATTTCTCAATCATCTTAGCTGATTTGAACAATTTTAGACCTTTCGTCTATGAATTTTCCACCCAGCAGTGCCCAGCACAAACTGAGGACCACGAGAGGGATGAACTTTTTTTTTTTTTGAGATGGAGTCTTACTCTGTCATCCAGGCTGGAGTGCTATGGTGCAATCTCAGCTCATCGCAACCTCCACCTCCTGGGTTCAAGTGACTCTTCTGCCTCAGCCTCCCAAGTAGCTGGGATCACAGGCATGCGCCACTACGCCCGGCTAGTTTTGTATTTTTAGTAGAGACGGGGTTTCCCCATGTTGGTCAGGCGGGTCTCAAACTCCTGACCTCAGGTGCTCTGCCCACCTCGGCCTCTCAAAGTGCTGGGATTACAGGTGTGAGCCACCTCACCCAGCCTGGATTAACTTTTTAAAAGGATTTTTAGGCCCAGCACGGTGGCTCACACCTGTAATCCCAGCACTTTGGGAGGCCGAGGCAGGAGGATCCCTCGAAGCCAGGAATTTGAGACCAGACTGGGCAACAAGCAAGACCCTGTCTCTATAAATAATTTTTTTAAATCTTTACTTTTTAATTTTTTTTCTTTATAGAGGCAATCAAATTTAAGAAGAAATTTAAAAAGACAGTCATCAGAGGTCAGATTTTGAAAACAGGTCAGAGAACCTCTAGCTCAGCCTTTGAGGCAATAGTGTCAAAGTGGTCAGCAGCATGACCTGTGAAGCCAGGATGCCTGGGTTCAAATAATGGCTTCTCCCCTTACTAGCTGTGTGAACTTGGACAAGTTATGCAGACTCTCGTGTCTGAGTTTGTTCATACATAAAATGGAGGAGCTGATACCACCCACCATGTAGGAATGTGATGAAGTTTAATTGTGCTAATCATGGGAAGTGCTTAGGAACAGTGCCTGGTACCTAACACACCAGTGAAAGTTTTCTATTACTGTCATCCTGTCAAGCTTCTGCTTGAATGCCTCCTGGGATGGGGAACTCACTCTCCCCAGGGCAGCGTTTTCCCCTATTGGATTGTTTAGTGTGTTAGGAGGCTTTTCTTTCTTTTTTTTTTGAGACGGAGTTTGGCTCTTGTTACCCAGGCTGGAGTGCAATGGCGCGATCTCGGCTCACCGCAACCTCCGCCTCCTGGGTTCAGGCAATTCTCCTGCCTCAGCCTCCTGAGTAGCTGGGATTACAGGCACGT